ATGGAGTATCAAAAGATTAGGCGATTTCGTGATGTATGCGGAAGATATTCATCATGATATAAGTAAGTTACAATTTTTCGCATACATTTCAGCCCGATCGGTACCAGCAACATTAGGGTGGAAACTACAACGGCCTCTGGCGAGTTATCTTCCAACCTGTTATGTGTCCGACCTAGGGATTTTTGCTCATTTACACCACTATCTGGATTCACCGCTTAACCGACAGACACAAGTTCAGAAGCTTGCGTATGCACTTTGTTGTCAGATTCCCGGATGATGCCTCCACCACTCTTCGTCAGCTGTATGGTGGAATTCTTTGCCAATTGTAAGCTTGCATTGAAGGATAGCACTGTTATTTCCTTATCTGTTCGTAAGCATTTGCGTTCGTCGAAAAGCTGCTGAGCACCATTTATGGAATACTATGATCCCCTGGTTAGATGTGTGAGACGCCTCAGATATTTCTTGGACGAGTGTACCAGGGAATGACCCGAGTGGGTGCAGCGATACACTCCTTATGAACATTCAGAAATGTTGTATTACCTACCACAAGTTCCAGTCATGTCTGTCAAGCCACGCACCGCATCCTGCAAATGTTTGGATGAGTGTCATCGATGGATCAATATCGAGGTCATTACGCCTGTATCTTACTTGACTCACTTTGTGAATAGAGTGTTCAGAGCGTTGGTTGGTTCCTTCCTTAGTGATTCGACACCCTGCTTGCGCATACGCCCAGTGTGTGTATTAGGATACAACAGGATGGACGTGGAATTTTAGCACGTTTGTGTTAGGAACTTTTATTCTGCCGTTGTGCTCCAACTTGAATTGGTTCCATTCTCAAAAGCTATTCAGTGCCACGTTTACTTCATTTCCAAATGATATGGTTGACTCTTTCCTATTGTAAAAATAGTGTAATGTACTGTCCTAGGTACGGCACACCTTTTCAAGGTAATATGTGTTCTTAACTATGAGACCCACACACCCTTTATCCGCAGGCGGGATCACTATAGCTACGTCTGCCACTGAGTGTTCTACTGAGTTCCTCTCGTTTTGGAAAAGATAATCTTGTCATTTGTTGAGTGGAAGTATTAGGACAATAACATGTTCTAATTGCGTTTTTATCTCTTCCTCAAGACTACTGGATTGCTATGCATTCGTTAATCCGGCGGGGGATTGGGTGGGTCCAACGACCTTGAAAATGGTGCGTATTTTTGACCAGGAATTAACGTACACCATCACTAACCGCCCAATGGGATGGATTTCCGATCATACTATCAATGTCATCTTTGCAGCTACCTCTGGTAGTTTGGCCAAATTGTGTTCTATAGTAGCCCGGCTATTCACTTTAGAAGTTCCAGTTTTGTAATCTACTAATATGTCTAGCTGTGCTGCTAGTTTTTCATACGATCAGTAAGCAGAGATATCGAAATTTGTAGTGATATCCCTTAGGATTCATAATCCGCTTGGGAGCGCTGGTGATTATCATCCTCAGACTGCGCTTTAGAAACCTCTTTGCAACAATTCACTCCAGTGAATAGGTCAACGGTAAGTAGCAAATTTCTGGCATCTTAATATTTACTAACAAGTTCTTTGTTTTAACGCAGCACAGATGCAGCCTCGATTGATGGTGTTAGGTCTGCGGTAACATTGCCAGTCTCGGTTCATATTTTGGGAATGAATGTGGCTGGGTAATTAGAAATCTGTAGGCACCACGGTGCCTATAGAGCACCATAGGGTAGAAGTGCTTTGACAATAATCCAGCAGCTTCAATATGTTCTGTGGGGCTATAGAAAGATTAACAATTTTTTTCAATGATTCATCTACGGTCTGGTACAATCACATATGATTACAAAAGGTTGGATAGTGATTGGTTCGGTGGTTGGTTCTGAAATGACTCGGGCAATAATTAAACAGCGAATGGTTCGCCGCTGTCTCATTCACATAGATCGACTGAGGGTTACGTAATAACAATGCCTGAGCCGATGTCAGGGTGACGGCTAGTCTGATCGCTGTTCGGCCAGGGCAGGTGTAGAGAATGAACAAATATTTGTGCGAGCACAGTTGGGGTTGGCATATGCGGATTGCAGTGGCCTCTGCAGTGGCGAGTATTCTTAACCGCGTACTTTTCGATTTGCTCTTTGGAACCTGATAAATCACAGTAAAGGTGTTTGGGAGGAGGCGTTCGAACAGATGCGACAAAATACCGCTTGTAAGAAATCTGGTGCCTTTGTACAACAACTATTTAGGGCTATGTTCCTTAATGCGACGTGACTGTTGACCGACTAATATAGGTTACCCCAGAAGTGCACTCAAATCGATAGATAACGTAAGAAGAGGTCAGCTTCGGCAGTCTGTCCTTGTTGCACACAGAAATTAGCTGGTTCGTGACGAAAACTTTTGTTCCATCTCTATACCTGCCCTGGCCGAACAGCCTTGAGCTCAGCCGTCACCTTGACATCGGCTCAAGCGTTGTTATTACCTAACCCACAATCGATCTTCGTGAATGAGACAGCGGCGAACTATTCGCTGTTTAATTATTGACCGAGTCATTTCAGAACCTACCACCGAACCCATCACTATCCATCCCTTGGTAGTTTAATCCTATATGGTTTTACCGGCCCGTAGATGAATCATTGAAAACAATTGTTTGCCTCAGACTGGTGTTCTTGATGAATCACTGTGAATGTTCCAGTTGTTATAGATTGTTATGTCGATAGTTTCTGTATCACTTTTAAGTGCACTGTTTCCTATAGAATTAATCTGAGGCGTGAGAGGGTAACAAAAGCTCCACTGGCTGGTCCAGGTATCCCAGGAACAACGATGTTATAGCAGGCAGAGTTCTCCACTGCTCAAAAATTGCTGTCCAACTTCGACCTTCAAGTCAGTTCAGGCACTTCAGCAGTTAGTTGTTCGTGAACTTAATGCCCTTACTTTTTGGCATCTTGTTTTAGGTGAGAGCTTAAAATGCTGTGCAATTGCAAATATCCCCGTTCCATTAAAATTTATCCATCGCAAATATCCGTCACTGATATCCGTTGTAGCGCCTACCGCAAGTTCCAGTCATCTCTGTCACTCCACGCACCACAGCCTGCAACTTATTGTGTGAGCGTCATCCATGGATCAATATCAAGGTCATTACGCCTGTACCTTACCTGACTCACTTTTATGAATAGATTGTCCAGAGCGTGTCATCCCCGTGTTCTGCTTCTGTTAGTGTGTTCAGCCCTTAGTGATTCAAGACCCTGCTTGCGCAGGGGCCTGGTTTGCGTAATGGGATACAACAATGTCGTTGGCCCATGAACTACCAGTCAAACTTTCACTGTCGTGAGTACTGGAGTTGACTGTCAAAGGAACACATGTTCCGCACTTCCTGCATCTTAAGCAAGCCTTGGAACTTCAATGACCAACTGCAAGTCAGTAGCAGAAGATTTTAGTGTTCTCAGACTTCTCTATAGTCTTTGAAGGGTTATAACAAGAACGAAGGGGCAAGAAAGCATAATATCTACTGCACGCGACCACGGTTAACTAACCTGTCACACACGCGTGCATATACCGGTTATGTTACAGTGCCACAACTCAAAATGCGTAGGGAATTATTACATGTCACATTCTTGTGTCGTTTCTCCTCAACTTTAGTGGCCTTGGCTGCCTGCCCAACGGTGTATCGTCGCTTCTGTAATTTGCATTCCGACCAACCTGAAGGTGTTCTAATGCTCTTGATTTGCTGCATCGCCGTTGCATTATTTGGTTTGGGGTGACTCCTGGATGCCCCAACAAGGGCGGTTCTGTCTCATCTTTTAGCCTTTCGACAAATATCTATGCTCACATTGGCTTACGCCCATTACCATTCGGCGCTCGAGATCTGCTCTCTGCTGGTTTTATGGAGCTTGGGTTGCTCCCTCTGATCTCGTCCACGATGTCCGTGCATGGTTTGGTCACCGCTCATTTTAGTGGCTTTCCAATGATTCGCGTGATCTTTACCTTCCGCTCCAATGCAGGATGTCCAACCAGCCGTCGACTGTCGCATCCGCTGACAAAGCGAATATTCACTTTTACTTTGATTTGCATTGCTACTTCCTAGGTCGCGACTTGATACGCAGTTAAGTAATCTCAAACTTCTACCCTTTACTGAAGACAGGATGTCCAGCTAAGTGAGAGGTCGTGCTGGGGTATGATTGGAATTCCGATTTGCGTTCCATATGAATCAATGACTGCTTATTTATACTCGGCAATGGACAGTCGTGCTCTTCCTCACATGGTTCACCAGACCTATACTTATCTGGCGACCAGATCCCCTCATTATGTGGTAAATGAAAAGTCATCATCTGCCAGAGGGGTAAGACCCAAAGAACTTCGTCACAGACTTTTCGCCTTTTTAAGCATGTCACTGTTCCCTTACCCACTTGGTCCTAAGTTCCTGCCTCAGCCATCGAGTTGAAGCAACTCCACTAAATTCGGTGCAACTCTCTTTTGATCACACAACTATTTAGTTGCCCTTCAGTGCATGCCTAATGTGTCATACATACTGCACCTTCTCTTGCACTTGTATAGTTTCACCGTGTGAACTAAGGCCTTGGCAGTCACTAATGTTTCTGTGTATTTCTGCGCCGTGAATTCCTTGTTTTTCAAATATCGTTTGCGGATCGATTAATTGCACTAGTTACCTCTTTGTTCGGAATAGCATCCTATTACAACTCACTTAGTTGCCTGTGACTAGTTGTAACTCAGTCGGCTGCTGTCTTTATTTGATCCCCTTGACGTCCGGTTGCATTGTGAGCAAGAAACTGCTGTACAGTTTGACCTATGCGTATTGTTGAGATCAGCCTCTGAATTGTTTTCATAACCTTTGGTAAAATAGTATGGTAGATCACTTCCGTCGTTGACCTCTGAATTGACACGGGGTCCTAGACTTTGATCAAAATCCGTAGCCGATTAATCAAGAACCACTTTTGACCATACAAAGTGCAGCGTCATCCACGTCATTATCTTAGGCATTGGTTCACAACCTGGGGGTAAGTACCCCCAAGGGGTAAGATGGAATTTTAAAAGGGTAAATATCATCTAGCTCAAAACATGTGACAAATTACTACCACTTATCCATCAGTGACCAGTCACTAGTGAGTAGTCAATGAATCAGACAATTTTCAGTAATCAGTAGCGGGGATTTTGGCACAAATTCAGAGGTGATTCGTCGCAGTCCCCTCTCAGTCAGCAGGTCCGCGGTCGTTGCTCATGGCTTAGTGGCCCAAGCTGTTGGCATCCGGAAGGTCTAAGTTCCAAACACAGCAGGGGTCTCAGGAAGGCACACCACTGATGAGACATATAAAGTCGAAAAAGAGCTGTCTGGTGTTTTTCCAGACGTGTCAAAACTTGCCGACTGGGAGGGACTGCAACGAATTACCCCTGAAATTATACCAAAATCCTCACTACCCATTATTAATCTAACATCAGTCCGTATAGCTACTAAGTTCTGTGTCGTACTCAGTCGTTATGCGAAAAGTTCTAGCTCGTGGGGCCAACTACTATCCTCTGCACAGTTCGTGACTGGCATGTCATGGGAGGACAAGCCGGGCTATATTGTAGTTAACTATCAGTCATGCAGGTTCGTGGCCGTTGCCCATGGCTTAGTGGCACAAGCTGCTGACATCCGAAATTCATGGGTCGGAACCCGGCAGGGGTCCGAGGAAGGCGCACAGTTGACGAGTATCAGAAGAACGAAAGAACGCTGTCAGATACTTCTTCAGATGTGTCAAAGCCTGTTGACTGAGAGGGGACTGCAACGAATTACCTCCGCAATTTTCGACAATGAAGTCGGCAACTTAAAATACGAGTAGTAGCCGGAAAAGCAGCACAGCTACACGGCTTATCCATTGGGTCGCTCGTCGCTCGTTGTTCTCTGGAGACAGATGGTCGTACGCCAGGTTACAGCACAGAATTGGATGAACACTAAGGTCGAATCATGGCTCAACCAACCATGTACATGCGCGAGCGAACATTCACAAGATAGAATGGACAAAACAGGCGATTCGTGTTTAGGACTGAAAATGGATTGCCAAAGCACAAAACTAGCAACGATTTTCACAAGATTGGTAGCGAGTGTGAAACATAGTTAAAAAAGCTAGAGGATACTGATCCATTCTGTCACAACTTCTAGGTGTGAATGTATTCCCGTTAATGGTGGAAATGAAAATGAAAGGAGAAACGGAATAAAGTTTGGTCACGAATTACAATGTGCATTAGCAGAAACAGCACCAAATTAATCACAAAACGCAAGAACGGAACCAAAGCAGCCGTCTTACTAACGAAATCACCGTTTGATTTAATAGAAAGTTACTTAAACAAGTGATTTTTGTTTACTTACATGATCGAAAGTGAAGAATAGTATTTTCCGTAACTTAAAGACAAAGTGTAATCGGTAGTAGCTACTTAGGCTTTTAAACTAAAAGCTGTTTAGGGTTAATAGTTGATAGTGAACCGCCTATGTGGGTGGCAGCCTCAAAAAGTTTGAGAACCACTGATCGAGGGAATTCAAGTGAATACTGTACAGAGGCAAATGTTGTTGGAGCTGTAAGCATTGACTGCTTCGATAGAAACTGGATATATAGAGGGTCAATATCACAAAAGAGGGTCTGTACTCACAACCATGCTCGGATAAGCACCCAAGACGATCAAGTTTGAGAGCCACAGCAAGCACTGACTAATGGAATAGGCTGCTGCTCGCGGACCTTGACGGAATATTTCAGACACGATCAGCGCAGGTACTGGGCCCAATCCCAGTGCAAATCCACATATAAACAACAGAATTAGACAGGTGGAACAGATCCCCATTGCTCTCTCCACCGATTTGGAGTCAGTATCTGCACCCACGTTCACTGTGACTGTCATCAGAAGAAGGGCTATGGCGACAGCAATTGTTGGCCAGAGCAGGAGTGTCCGACGTCCAGCTCGTTCCAGTAGCATCAACGCTATTATCGTGACGACCACATTCACGATCCCAATGGCTAGCACACAGTACTGAATGTAGTGCTTCTCAATGCCTGTCGTTCTGAGCATGGTCCCCGAGTAGCAAATGACCTAAGAGAGAAAGAATAACAGTGCACATTTATGTGAACTGAGCCTCAAACTTGAACATGGTAACCTGGATTACCATTAGGAACATTGCTTACCTCCACCTGTTGCAAAACACTGGTTTAATCACACTGACTGTCAGCACGTGCACATACACGAAAAGTCTTCCGAAAGTTCATCAGTTAACTGTCAATAATATGTGAAGTTCAGCATCTCACTGAACGGAAATAATACGGAAGGCTAAGTTTAACGGCACAGTCCAGGAAAGGGAACTTTTGTGTTTGGTATACCACACCAACGCTGCAAACTTGGACACATTCGTAAACTGATCCTAACATATACGGGGATTGCTTTCCCAGTATAGTGTTCTGGTGCGCGACGCAAGAAATTAAGTTGGTAGATCACATGGACATGCGAGTTACAGGAACAGCTATCACCTTGCATGAGCAGTCTCTGCCAACGATGGCGCAGTAGGGACTGTTATTGTACCCACTCATGCATCACCCATGGTCCTAAATCCTCTGAAAGAAAGCACACTATGCCGATTCTGGTTAATCTTTGAAAACCTAGGAAACTTTCCTATGCATTTACCCACATTCACACCGTGAAACAGGTAGATTCAACTATTTGGACTAGTTACACCTCAGGCACTGAGTAGATGACCAAGGAATCTAAAAAAGGAGGTAGCTGTAGGTGCGCAATTTACAAAAGCTGGGGAACACCATTTCCTTTGGCAACTGTGCTGCCATAAATAGGATTGGTTGATTTCCTTCGGGCGGAAAGAGGAATAATTTACATGACATCAGGAAAAGATATATGTATGCCGCTACCTAAGTGTCCACCTGTGTTTATCAGCACCATAATGGTAGAAGGTACTGAAGAGAAAACGTCACTTACCGCATTTATGCCGGACATTTGCTGAAACAGTTGAATTAGACATGCAATCAACATTGGCATACGCAAGTCGCGTTGGGTAAATAGTTGTACAAACTTGAACTCGGGTTGACTTTTTGCTTGCTCCATTTCTTCGCGTAATTCGCTGATAAACCTATCCACATCCTTGTTCGAACTGAGCTGTTTGAATGCTTTTCGGGCCCCGGCTTCGTCGTTTCTTTTCATCATAAGAAAACGTGGACTCTCGGGACAGAATGGCAGAACTAGGAGAGAGATTGCAGCAGGCACAGCACAGAGTCCGCTTGCAAACGGCCACAACTTGCTATGGTTCAGAGTTTCCGTCAGAGTGACCACATATGCGACTACAATGCCCATGACAATGCCCAGCTGGTTGCAGGCACCGATCGCCCCGCGCAGTCTGCTCGGAGCGACTTCAGTCAAGTACATCGGAGCGACGCCAGTGGTGATGCCGCAATTGAGACCCAGAATGAAACGTCCGACGAAGAGTAAGGCCGCTTGATTTGTATGCACACAGAGGGCACACAAAATAGCTCCCAAGATGGCGAATGCGTGGTTGAACAGCAGTCCATTTCGCCTATGATAGCGAAAAAACGACAAGAGTGAAGAGAATTACTCCTCTGATCCAGCCAACACCCCACCGGCACATATACCATACTAGACTTTTGAGCTGGGAACAGTAGACTGCTGTACTAGACATCCAGCTGTCCGCTTCTGGAATAGATGAGGTGAGCGGAATATGCAAGGGGAAATCACATCATTTTCATAATACATGTCCTCATCTAGTTGTTGAAATTAGCAGCGCAAAACAACCGCATCGGCAAAAGCGATGCATAAATTTTTAGTGTCTATACAGTATAGACAAACACAATAAACGTCCCACGCTTTAAACAGAATACCTATTCAGCAACCATATGAGGATAAAGGCCGAACCTGCGGTAAAATTTACGAACAAATTGCTTCCATTCAGCTAATGCTAAGTTAACCTATGCGGAACAACAATGAGTAGGGTAGCATTTTGACGTTATCAGCGTTGTGCACTACAATGCACAAGTTCCCGCCTTACGAGTAATCCAAATCATATAGCCTAGATGGTGTGTTCAATTTGCCTATGCACCGAAAGTTTAGAACCTATATCGGCAGACATTGGCGACAGACACATAAAAATGTACAGCTCGTTCATCGACCTACCCATCTGTAAAAAGTACCCAAGGTCAAAAGGGCCACCCTGTCTATCCCGTTACTCTACGCTAGTGAACGCCGTGAGTTGGGTTCAAGACGACGCAAATCATGGTCCCCTTTGAGATCGTGTGTCTTCTACAACTCAACTGTACTCATCATCCGCGTCTTGTTACTGCTTACCTGCTGTCACAACTTCTCCTTGACAGCATTGACGAGGAAGGTTGCCGCATTCGCATACAGGTAACTGGTACATCGAGCCAGTGTACTGGAAAGTGCATACTCCTAAGTATCCATCTGCGAATGGATTACGTGCAATGAGCGTGTAATGCTTCCCTAATTAAATAGAGGGTCATTTGACTTACTCGTTATGCAAAACCGTGGGTCCCCTTCAGCCATTCCGTTAAGGCAGGGAGAAGACAGAGTTTGCGATATGTGAACATTTCGCTTGTTCTCTTCAGTCGCAAACACAATACGAGCAGAAGCACACAAGGGATTATATACATGGAAAAAATAAGCACCACCAATCAAAATGTCACAGTCAAGACCATGGCGATCGAATTAATTGCCTCAAGAGTTTCTGTGCACATAGCACAGGTTGATAGGCCTTAATTGACAAAGCCCCACTAACTGCCAGCATTATCTGGTTTTTGTTACGTAATAGCACCCTGAACACTCTCTCGGGGTTCACGTGGTGACGGCTTGTCATGAGGTGCTTGGTGATAGACGATGCCGGGCTTCGATTAATTCTCAGATTCGTCCCATGTTGCTTCGGAATCACTTGTCCCAACCACTTTGGCAAATGTTCAGCTACACACTGAGCTAACTGACGATTTGTTCTGCCTATGTAAACGTCACCGCAACCGCAGGTGAACTGATAAACAACGTGAGAGGCCGAAATACCCGACGAGATGCTCTGACGGTTACGAAGAACTAGTGCTTGCGTGGTATGTCTGAGTCGCAACTGGGGTGTCGTGTAGGTTCGCGTTAGGGCGAACGAGAGCTTGCGTCCGATATTTGCCACCTGGTCCCCCTTGAACGGCAAGTATAAATAAACATCCATTTTCTCAGCCGTCAACACCGGTGTTTTCACGCTAAGAGATCTGTCGTGTACCTGATTAACCTTCTCAAGATATCCATTAGAAATGAAGGTCTTGTTTAGAAATACTTCTTCGGCTTGTAACTTTTCGGGAATGCAAATACATCTAGCCCGGTAGAAGAGAGTTCTCACTAGGCCGCGTTTGTATGCGATCGGGGCGAAGCTTGAAAAATGTAGGTACTGTCCAGTCCAAGTCTATTTGCGGTGCACAGTGCGCTGCAACGTACCTTCAGCCCGCCAGGCAATTGTGTTGTTCCACTTCCATGCGACGAATCTGAGAATTAATCGAAGCCCGGCATCGTCTATCACCAAGCACCTCATGACAAGCCGTCACCACGTGAACCCCGAGAGAGTGTTCAGGGTGTTATTACGTAACAAAAACCAGATAATGCTGGCAGTTAGTGAGGCTTTGTCAATTAAGGCTTATCAACCTGTGCTATGTGCACAGAAACTCTTGAGGCAATTAATTCGGTCGCCATGGTCTTGACTGTGACATTTTGATTGGTGGTGCTTATTTTTTCCATGTATATAATCCCTTGTGTGCTTCTGCTCGTATTGTGTTTGCGACTGAAGAGAACAAGCGAAATGTTCACATATCGCAAACTCTGTCTTTTCTCTGCCTGTACTCGTTATGTGGCGGAATTGCAACGAGGTCTCATAGTCGACTGTGACTCGCATGGAAGCGAACCTTGGCCAATTTATCCACTAGGACCGTTGCTGAAGCGTACGGGAATAGGGTATTACCTGCCGGAAAACACTGAATTCCCATACGTGTTTCGACATCGTTTGATCTCATCAGGTAGCAGCAGTAGGCCCCGAAGACGGGAGCATTAAAATGTTACTTAGAACCTCGACTCCTCTAGCCATCCCGTCACGACAGGCACCGTTTGGCCCAGCGGTTAATGACTGACTGGAGAGTCATTCGTTGTACCCGTCGTATGATTGCATTGTGACCCGCATTCTCAATGTGGACCGTGAATCTCATGGAAGCGAAGTTTGGCAAATCCCCAATTCACGGCTATAGCGGACTAAGGTCGACATCGGACTGCGTTACTTGTAGGTGAGCAAAATGAACCGCAAGCCGTCACCAGCAGAGCCTTTTCGTGTACAATGTTATGACCGTCGCCGCTACCCAGTCAGGGCGAAAAATTCAGATAATGTGTAATATTATAGGTAGAAATTCGTCACATCTAGACTCACTCAGACAGCCGCCACACGCCCGGAAAAGCACTGTACGCGCGTTTCATCATTTCGGGAATCATAAGCAATGCGCATTCCATCGGACCCTTGGTAGGGCTCGAAACCGCAACTCGACTGTTGCCAGTCCGTGGTTGAGACCACTGAGCTACGGGGGGACGGCAACGAACATCGTGAGTAAGTTACTAGATGTGATATAGCGCCGCTCACTATCCACTGACTTACACGTTACTACGGTGCAGAGGACAGGGTAGCCCCCTCACCAAGCGACGAGCTTACCACACTTAAGCCGCCAATTATCTTATGGCATGATATGCATTTTGGTCTGATTTTCCGGGCGTGTGGCGGCTGTCTGAGTGAGTCTAAATGTGACGAATTGCTCCCTATAACATTCAACTCCCCCTACTACTCTTCTGTAATCAGTACACAGAACAAACTGCTTATAATGCCATAAGATAATTGGCGGCTTAAGTTTGGTAAGCTCGTCGCTTGGTGAGGGGGCTACCCTGTCCTCTGCACCGTAGTAACGTGTAAGTCAGTGGATAGTGAGCGGCGCTATATCACATCTAGTAACTTACTCACGATGTTCGTTGCCGTCCCCCCGTAGCTCAGTGGTCTCAACCACGGACTGGCAACAGTCGAGTTGCGGTTTCGAGCCCTACCATGGGTCCGAAGGAATGCGCACTGCTGATGGTTCCCGAAAGGATGAAACACGCGTACAGTGTTTTCCGGGCGTGTGGCGGCTGTCTGAGTGAGTCTATAGATGCGACGAATTTCTACCTGTGACATTCAACTCCCCGTATTACTCTACTCTGTAATATGCCCATTGAGCGCAAACAGCTGTCCGACTTCTTGTTTTACACGCCCTGTGAGAATCAATCGCTATAAGCGGAATAGCGGAATGAGAACAATAATACTGTACGAACCATCACAATGTGCAATCGATTAACCCAGCCCGTCAACGCTACTTCTTGTTCGTTGCTTGCCGAAGAACCCCCAGAAGTCGTCTGGTTCGAGTTCGTCAACAAACTCCGTCGGCTAATTGCAGAGGCTTCAGAGATGAGTTCACAATAAGTGTAAATAGTTTTCCTTCGTTAGGAGCAATACTCGAAAATGGTTTGCAGTACTTAATGCAGCATCGCGAGGGTACAGACAAGCTCCGCAACCAGCAACTTGGGACAAATACGTAGCCCAACGTAACCACTGCATTCAACTGTTAAGCGGCATATCAGCAGAACATCGCAGTACCCTTCAGTGCTAACCACAAACTGCTGTACAAGCACGTCAATAGCCTACGAAAACTGAGGCAAGGATTTCCTCCACCTAGGACGGTCGTTGGCTCAATATTAAGGGCTGTGGAGGTAGCAAACTCGCTGCGGATGCAATGTGTCATCACGTTTCAGAGAGCCTTGTCACTAAACGATCTTCCAAATTTTGTCGTCGCTCCGCCAGGACTAACCCACATCACTTTTACAGCGGTGCTGTATTGCAAAAGCTGACGTCTCTACGCAAATACAGCCCGCCGGGTGTCGACACCATTCGTCCATAGGCACTGGAAGCAGCAACAAGCCACCTGTCAGGACCTTTTGTTCACTTGTTCTAGCGCTACTTAGAAACGACTCAAGTTCCCGTTATGTGGAAGCTTAGCATAATAACCCCGATTCACAAACGTGGAAGCAGAACTGTGCTCTGCAACTACCGTCCAGTGTCTTTTTTCCTATACTCTCCAAGGTCCTGGAATCAAAAGTTGCCGGTGCACTGGTGTGCTATCTGGAAAGATGTAACTTCATCACGCCTGAGTAGCACGGCTGCCGTCGATATCGGTGATGCACAACGAATTTACGAATCGCACGCAGTATTTGATCCGCATCAGCTGACGCTGGCGAAGGCGTAGACGTGATGTACCTGGATATTCTTAAAGATTTCGATCGTCTAAACCACCGGATACTAATCTCCAAGCTCCAGCAATACAGGATCGGCGACCCTCTTTTAAGATGGGTCGCCAACCTTCTACTTCAAAGGCAATTAATGAGCAGCGTTCGGAGCCCTGTATCGGACTCCATACCAGTCGAGTGTGGTGCGCTGCAAGGCTCCGTTCTAGG